GTATGAAATTTGGGGGGCGGGGGGGAAGGGGGAGAAATTCAGTCCATAGAACATTCTATCTGCTACATCATGTTTTCTTAAAGTTTGCCAGTGAAAGGATGAGGGATGCATTGGTGGCCTGTTAGGGGAGCAGTGCCAAGAAGTGTTCTAGGATGGTAGGGACTTGATCATACTTTTAGGCTTATGAGAAGGGGTAAGTGAAAGGGGAGAGGGAATAAGTGATGAGTAAGGTCCCGGAGGAGGTGGTAGGGAAAAGAGCATGCCTGTGTCTCTATAAGAACAAGCAATTCCATATACTAATAATTATTTATTCAATTTGCTGTTCCCTGGGGTCTTCCTCAGGACACCATTTCCAACTTTCCATTGTCAGTAACTTCATTAATTTAAAAAGTAGGAACTTTAGATGAACTCCAAGACCACTTTTGGTCCTAAACTTCTATCTTTATAGCTTTTTCTATAAAGTCTGTCATCCCAGAACTGGAAAGAACTTCCTGAGTTATTGCATGGCCTCCAAGCCAAATTTGCCATAAATATTTCTACCTCTAAAATATAGCTACCAGGCATATGATTGAGAATTAGTTCAGCTCTCTTCAACTACCTTTAACTTTATAGAGTACAGATCTTTGCCAAGAGACAGCTGGCTGGTCCGTGCATATAAATATCATGTTAATCAACTATCGGGCCTGGAGGAGAAGTTGAATTCTTGGCAAACAGTTGCCCCTTGAGCTGTCTAAACTCGAACACTCGTTTGGGGGCTCCATTCCCCCCATTCATTCATTTTGATTTGACATCCTCATGAGGTACTCCACCCAGCAGGTGTTCAGAAAAGTTGAAAAGGGCAATTTTTCACCTCTCAAAAGGGTTGAAGGTACATGGTTTAGATCTGGATCCCTTCCAGACTGTGTGAAACATCCTAGGCAGCCAAAAGATACAGGTAACAGGTTTCAAGAACTGCTAACAGTGGGGCAGGAATTTTCTTCTTTCTGTCATTTTTTAAGTGTCTCTACTGAAATGAAAATTACATCTGTGGACACTTTTACATATTGGCTCCAGCTTCTGTGCTGCTTTTCCTGGGGCGTGTTTTCAATAGTGGCATTCATCAGCTTTTCACAGGAGTCTATGAAAAACCTTGAAAAATGTTTCCCAAGTGGGAGCAATGCCATTTCTTTTACATTTTTGGGACAATTTCCTTACAAGTCTTGGCAGCCTAGTTATGTGGCTTTCCATGATTTTCCTCAGTGGTCATTTCTCTCTCTGTATCTCAGGAGCAGTTTCAGGATGCAGAAGTACCGGGGGCAACTTCGTAGTCACAGGTCTACTCCCTGCGTGGATGAGCTTCCCAAGACAGTAAGCAACCAAATCTCCCAATCTCCTTTGGAGACAGAGGAAGTCCTACTTATGATCCACGTGGTCTCAGGTAAGCACACCCAGTCAGGATATTATTACCCACTGCCCCTTGTGTTGGTTTGTTTGAGCACAGGGGAAGTACAGGTTGATCTGTATTTTCTCCCTGGGCCTGTGTGGAATTGTTCAATCTGAAGGTTGGGGTGTTTGCCTCTTCTGGGGTGCTGGCCGAGGGTATGAGCAGTGGCCTACCGCAGAAGGATCGCATCTAGCTTTTGCCCACCTCCTCTCCACGCAGACTTCAAATCCTGCTTCGCAGGGGAGATTGAGCCTACAGTAGTGAGCTCTGTCAAGGACTTCCCTAACACCGTCAATCCCATCCCCATCTATGCCCACTCTCACCTTCATCAGTCTTTTCTTTGGCAGTTCAGAGCCACATCTTTCACTTATGGTCTGGATCCCACCCTCTTCTACCTCCTCATGACTTTGCTTCATCAGTCCTTCCCTCTCTCTTATATTTTCAAATGCCTGCATTCTTAAAAAGTAAAAAAAGTAGATAGTCTAACTTTGGGCTGAGTATCCTATGTTTGTTTCCATTTATAGCCAAGTTCCAAGAATCATCAATGCACAGTACCTCACCTCCTGCTGACTTTTCAATCTACTGCAGAGAGGCCACTGTCTCCATCTGGCCCTGAAGTTGCTCTGGGGCAAGATCTTCTCCTTATCAAATTAAACACCCCTTTCTTGGCTTTTCTGTGTCATCTAATACCCCTCACACTTTATTCTCCTTCAAACTCTTTTGGCTTCATTGTCACCAGTTTCTTCTATATACTTCTCTGACGGAAAGTTTGGCCTTATCTGTGCCTTTCTTTCTTTGCTGTCTCTTGAATGGTGGTTCCCCCCCTAGATTCTCTTTTTGCTCCTTATATTTTCTCAAGTCCATGCTCTCCCCCGATGTTGCCATCTATATCCACTGCCTTTACCGTTATCCACACATTGATGACTTCTCTTCTGAGTTCCTGGTGTTGTTTAAATGTTTCAAAGACACCTCAAACTCAAAATGTTCCAAACTTATTTCCTTCTTTCTTACACTGGCTCTGCAGGAGCCACTGCCAGCTCCCTTTACTCACCAGCCCTCATCACAGTTCACTTAAAGCCTTGGCAAATTCAGCTCCTTTGTAGTTTCTGCATCCAACTCTTCTTTCTTTTTTGCCTAATGCTTCACAGGCTGTTGTGAAAGTTAAGTGACGTGCCACATAATTAATGTCCCTAGTACCTGATAAAAATCTTAATTGAATTCACAACAGAGAAAGCAGCATTTCCAGGTGCTTATATTGTTTGGTGTATATAGACCACTGGGAATTAGAATTTCCTCTTTTAAGTAATTAAGTCTAATGATTCACACACTATACTGAAATAGCAACACACAGTCTGATGGCTTGAAAGATTTAGGCCACTGGGAGGCTCCAGAAATCAGAAGTTTGTTCTGACTTTGGAATCCTCGAGTGACCCCCAATGTAATTTAAGTTTCCGTTGGATATAGTTGAAGGAAGGACCTGAAATGTATGAGGTTCTTTTTGTTTTGTTTTTAAAGAGCTCCTGCTGCACTGATATTAAATGCCTTCTCCCTACAGAATCTCCCTTTTCTGGGACTTGTGTGCTGGTTAGATGCAAACTATAATACAACTTTCTATGTTCTCCCTTCTGTAACCCTGTCCTCTCTGTGAGGAGGGGAGCTGTTGTAAGCTCAAATTTTATTTTGTTGAGCATTCAACTATGTAAAAATGTATGAACAGTTCTCTTTGGTATTCTCAAATATGTTGAAATTATCTATCACGTATTTATAATGCAATGAACTTGGTTGCATTACTATTTCAGAAACCCAACTCTACTCTCTTAAAGACGACAGTAAATTTATCAGCCCTTTCTTTTCAGCCCCGTCGTCCTTTGCCTCCTCCCTGTGTCAGCAGCAATGATGGTGGTCTGGGGATTGCCATGTCCTGACTGGCTTATATTCAGCTGTCAAGGGAGTGGTTTTAAACTGGTAATGAGCCACTGTGGGCAGGTGATGGCTTCCCCTGAAGTAAGTGGGTTGCTTAATAAAGTGGTGGGCACCTGAACAGAAAACTGTTGTTCCATCAGGAGGCAGAAACATATAGGCAGCCAACCGGTATCCATCACGTGAAACGTAATTAAAATAAAGAAATGGAAGAGGGAATAAAGAAGGAAGTAAAGGGGATGCAGGAATATTCTTGGTCCTTCATAAACAGGGAGAAGAGGGAACTTTCCAATGATTCATAACAGTCCATTTCAGCTGCTAAAGAGATCCAGGCTCCTAATAACTAATAGATGAACCGGAGGGATTTGAGAAGCCAATAAATAAGTGTATAGGCTTCTGAGAAAGTATTCCTGATTCCTGGCAACTTTAAATGGGTGACAGGCAGGCCTCCTCAGTGAACAGCTTGGGCAACGATCTGGTGATGTCACTTGAAAGCACTAACCTGTCTCTCTGCCCCAAACCTTTCTTTCCCTTTAGCTTTTCCCAGATGACAACAATCTCTGCATTGATCAAGGTGCCAGATTCTACTCCTGATATTCTGTGGAACTGGTTTGAAGGTCCTTCCATTGACGGTACAGCTGCCCCAGTGACCCTATTTGGTGCTTAATACCTACTTCAATGTCCTTAGGAAGAGAAGTCTAAGTAGGTGGGGAACAATTTCCCCATAGTCTTCTAAAATCCAAAATATGTGGAAGTTCAGTGGTTATTGATGTTGGCTACTCATTGATATAATTTTAGATATTTATCATATCCTATCCTCTTATTTGATAGATGATAGATAGATAGATAGATAGATAGATAGATAGATAGATAGATAGATAGATAGATAGATAGATGATAGATAGATAGAGAAAAAGAGAGAGATTATATACCTGACCCAAGATCAGCCACTTGTCAGCATCAGCTGAAGCCACTAGAAACAGAACTGGGCCTTGTCTTCAAGCTCCTGAGTCTTAGTTGAGGTCTGTCACCACCATATCTCTTACAGCAGTTTTAACTGACTGTGCCACACTACTTGTAACTTTTGCTTTTAATTTGATTTCTCTATAGAATCCAGTACATTCCAGACTGCCATATAGGTTGCCCTTCTAAGCTGAAGGTCTGGTGAAGATTATTGTTTATTTAATCCTGTACATTTTGAACTTTAAAGATATTGTCACAAACAAAATATCCTTTGTGAGGTTTTTAGGAGATAAAAATGATAGTAAAAATTCTAACTGAATAAGCTTTGATGTAAGAAAGTATTCTCAAAGAACATTATTACCTCTCATTTTAGTGATTTCCTGGCCTCACCATCAGTAATGTTTCACAAGAAAAAGAAAGAATTTGGTTGATGCCAGCTATCTAAAAATTAAATAAATTAAATGAATTAAAATGAAATGCTATTGTTAAATATTTCAGGATTAGCATCCAAATAAATAGCTTTGCCTTGTTGATAAAAATCAAGAGTAGCTTCAGGAGGCCAATATATGAGAAAAATCACATCCACAGTTTTTCAAAAGTAGGAAAGATTGCTAAAAAATAGAACTGTTTCTATAGAGAATGAAATGTACAATATCTAGAAACTATATATGGTGGGCTCTATAATGTATCATTTCATCCATTTTTTTCCCAATGAGAAGAGATAAATATACCAGCTATATAGGTGACATGGTATTTTTTTTCTGTTAGCATAAATCAGTGAAATGAATAGACCTCTTAGGCTGTACTACACATTATGTGCAATTCGTGCTTGCTATCTTATAAGGAGTTATTTGTATATGAAATTTTGACACAAGATTGAAAATGTGTAATTTAAAAGCAAAAGAAAAAAACAGGTTTATATCCTAGTGTACTGCATTTCAAATTTCTAGCTGATTTATAATCCTCTTAAAGCCCATGCTATTAAGCAATTCAGCATGTCGGTGGCTGTATATGTTGAGCTAAAACTCCCCAACCAGTCAGCCTGTGGCACTTTGAGTGCTGCTCTTCACTTTTTCCGTCTGTATTTTTTCTCATCTAACTTTTTCAGGAATGTTATTCCTATTTCTGTCACCCTGTCGCCTTTTAGTCTGTCTTGCAAGAATGTAACATCAGCAGCCAAATGAACCTAGGAAAGAGAAAAAAACGCCTTGGTCATTTAGGTTTAAAAACAAAACACCTCACTACATCTTTCTGTCTCTTTTTTCAGCTTCATTTACCCCAGAAGAAGCTGACTTTCCTTATGAATGATAAGAAGGAGCTCTGTGGGTGAAGGATCCTTTACTGTGTGTCCTTCAGAGATGGCCTGGCTGGTGTGAGCTCTGTGGTGTGGGTCTGCAAGGCGATGGGAGGGCCAGCCAGGCCCAGCCTGGATGCTTACAGAGATGTGGACCCATGCCAAGTTTTGCTCACAGGGCTGAATTATGAGTCCATCTCAAGAACACAGATTCCCAACTCGAAGATAGCCTTGACCCAATGTGCCTTGCAAGCAGAACTTCCAAGGATAAATGAATTCATAAGTGATTCCTCTCCAACTGACTTGCCATGTATCATTCTGTCCTAGCTAAATAGCACAATCACAGCATAATGAGTGTGGTCCTCACAATACTGAGCAATCATTTATGGCTTTGAGAGGTTTGAAAAAATATAGACTAAATAAATTATGAAGATAAAATTAAAGATTGAAATTACAGACATGAATATTTGATACTGAGGCTTTCTTTTCTTCTGTAAGACAAAGCGCATTTCCCAGACATTGAAGTAAGCCCTAAGGGCTGACTTCTTTATTCATTAAAATATATTCGCATAAGAGCAGCGTGGTATTGCTGACTTACCCTCAGTAGAATACTATTCTACTATTTTAAGTCATTGGGGTAAAGATAATAAATAAGCCAAAGTACCTAATAAAAGCAAATAATAAGTGGAAAAGCCTGGGCCTAGTAAACAATTAATTAATATATAGTAATTAATCATAATCTTACTAGACTGATTTCCCTCTCTCACCAAGGATCCCTTTGCTAACCAGCCTGGATTTGCTAAACCATAGACCTTGGTAGGCCTAGTTGTTTGGTTCACACAAGGTACAAAGCCCACCACCCAAGAGAAAGATACAGGCTGGACTTTGAAATACAGAAGACAAATTCACTCTCATTTTTTCCTTATAAGATCTTTTTTGTCTTTGTCAAAATTTGACAGACCATTAAATAAAATAACAAGGAGACTACGCTGAAGCTATTTGGATATTTGGGGCCGCATGTTGTCTGATGCCTGTGTCTGTCATTCGGCATATGGCATATTCATTCAACTTATCTGTGAAAGATGGGGACTTCTTTAAAGGGAAAGCTTTAAAAAATGGGAGGGTAGAAGTGTGGGAAAGCTGTGCGACTAATAGATTGTTTCTATTGTTTTACTCTTTTGGATTACCTGTTATTATGTCCTTCCCCTAATTATCACAAATAATTGAAAATGATATGCATGCTCCATTATTGGGTAGGCCACACATGTCTAGCCTTGGGCTACTATCTGGTCTCCGCATTTTAAATAGCTAAGCTCCTGGGAAAAATACGACTTCATTATTATCTCTGCCCAAGCTGCCCTTGGCTCTTCAGTTTTTAACAGATTGTCTTCTTCTTTCACGTTCCCAAAACAGCTGTTACTAAGGTCCTCCCTGACCTTCTGGTCCCTCAGCGCTGTGCGTATTTTTCAAGCCGTGCTTTACTTAGCCTCTGCTGCACTTCGTCTTGCTAATCACCTCCTTTTCCTCAAACACTTGCCTCCCTTGTTTCTATGACTCCATTCTTCCCTGGTATTTTTCTAAGCTCTGGTTGCGCCTCCTTGGTATTCTTTACAGCCTTTGTGCTTTCTGTTTAACTTACTCTTATGTTTTGTTGCCTCCTAGGGATCCATCTGTGACTCCTTTTTTTTTTTTTTAATCTACACTCTCTCTAGACACTCTTTGAGAGCGCCAGTGCCTCTCCAGTCCACACCTGCCTGTGATTTCCAGACATCCGTAACAACCGCTTAGCGGTATCATCCCCTGGGTGTGTAGGCTCCTCATTCCCAGGGGCTGCCTAAACTCACTTTGTCTCTCCCAGCCCCAAACGTACATCTCTTGGTTTTGCTCTTTTGATTACTAGTACGACCATCACTATAGGTTGCTCAGAAACCTAAAAATAATTCCTGAGTCTGTCTCTCAACCTTGTTCCTTTAGTCAACTGATTACCTCATCTAAAATCTATTCTACCTTCTTAATGTTGTTGAAGTCGGTCTTCTCTCCACTCCTACTGTCAGGGCTTTATCCGGTTTTCCTTCAGGTTACCACGATCAGCTTCCTAACTGCTCCCCCTCCCCACCCCAGCATTGTCCCCCCCTGTGCACTTTCACTTTGTTTAAAAAGGAATGACATTCCTAAAACACAAATTTCAAACTATTATCCCCCTGTTTATAAACCTATAAGCAGTCTCTGCTGTTTTCAGTACAAAAATCAAATTCCCAACTTTTCGTATAAACGCCTTTTTAAAATCAGGCCTTTGTAAAGAATTTACTCCTTTCTCATGACAATCCCTCTTTCGATCTACATGTCATTCATAGTAAACTGGCTCAAGTTCCTTGTTCATTAACTGAAACATTCTTTTTATGCCTTTGGGCATGCTGCTCCTTTTACCTGGAAAATTCTTTTCCTCTGCCCCCCAAGGCCTTCACCTCACTTAACTCTTATTTATCCTTTAAATGCCAGATTCAGAGTTTTCTTAGGAAGCCTTCCCTGACCTCTCATTCACCTTGACCCATAGCCTTTAGTCACACTTCCTTACATATTTGGTTTCTCTACGGGATAGAAGATTCTTGAGGGGCAGCAACTGTGCCTGGTTCATTTTGTGAGTTCAGTGCCTGACTCTTAGAAGATGGAATTAGATCCATCAATAATTCATGTTAGCATGATGTTTGTCACACTGAGCCTAGTGAAAGATAAGATCTTGAATGAGGTATTGATTGATTTAACCATTCAGCCAGCCTCCAAAATAGTCTGCAACGATCCCTGCCTCCTGTTATTCCTGCCCTCTGGTGGTCCCGCCCCGCTCTGCACCAGGGTTGGCAGCACCTGTTGTGATCAGATCTACAGAGAGGTCTGTCTGCAAGGAACTCCATGAAGCTTCTAGCCAACTGCCAGCAAGGCACTGAGGCCATGTGAGTGGGCTTGAAAGTAGATTCTCTGGCCTCTGTCAAGTCTTCAGAGACCTCAGCCCTGACCAGTAGCTTGACCGCATGAGTATTAAGCTGTAAAAAGCTCTGAGCCACAACCACCCTGCTAAGCAGCTCCCAGATTTCTGATCCTTAGAAACCATGTCAGATAATAAACGTTTGTTTTAAGCCACTGTACTCAGCACTAGATAACAAATGTACCCGACACAATGAAGTGGGAGCTTTACCATTTCCAGGGCACCTCTGATAATCCCACAGAGCAGATTGCAGTAGCACAGGGATGACCGCCCAGCAGGGAGCTCTTCCACAAACTCCGCCAGAGGGTTCTTGTCTAGAATCAGGGAGAATTCATTTCTGCTTGAATTATTACAGGTCACACTTGGTGTAATTCCCAGGTACATCTTGAAAGCGACCTAACAAAGAGGAAAAACAATTACTAAAACTTGATCTAGAACAAATGTCTATAACTAGGGCACCCAAATACCCTGTTCTAGGCAGTGCTGAGTAATGGTGAAGCAGGTGGAGCTTGTAGTCAGAAGTCTGGGCTCACACTTAGCTTTAAAATGTACTGATCCTATGACTAGTGCAAGTCTTAAATCCTTTTATTTTTATGAAACATCTTAAGGGACTAGATTTCTGTGGAAACAAAAATTTTCCTTTTTTTTTTTTAAAATATATCTTTGTTGATTTCAGAGAGAGGAAAGGAGAGGGGGAGAGAGAGATAGAAACATCAATGATGAGAGAGTCATTGATTGAGCCCGCAACCCGGGCATGTGCCCTGACCGGGAATCGAACCCCGATCGCCTGGATCCTAGGCCGATGCTCAACCGCTGAGCCACGCCCAGCCGGGCGGAAACAAAAATTTTCAAAAATAAATATCCTTTAGGAAAGTGGGAAATTTAAATATGACTAATTATCAACATATTAGTATATTTGTAACACTGAGCTTAGATTTTGAATGAGGACAGACACGCCTGCCCTAAGGGAAATGTGATAGAGCAAAGGATGTTACACGTAGGTTACAGGAAGGCCTCAGGGTATGTTTTGGGAAGTGGAAGAAGTCATATCACTAAGGGTGACAAGTCTTGCATGAGAAGCAAAGAGTTGTGGTGACAGGCACATAAATGAGTTATAAATTAACTTCTCAAAAAAGTCTTCTGTTTTACAAGAATTGCCTTTTTTACAATATAAAAATAGAGGAAACTTTGAAGATTATTTCTGTTTCAGTTTCATTTTCACAAATGAGTAAACCAGGATTCAGAGCAGTAAAATGACATGGCCAAGGCTACAGTATTCCTTAGTTCCTTGGCTCCTAGTCCAGGGCACTTTCTTTTCACAAAACGCAGGCTTGGAATTTGAGGTTTATTAATGGGAATGTGTCAGCTTGATATGTTATTGTCTTTCCAGTGCCTTAATTAATTTAATTTTAAAATTAACACCAGTGTAGGAGAGAAATGGAAATAATTTTCTTAAATTATTTCCAATTAGAAGTACTTCTAATGAAAAGTTCTTCCTTCCTTTATTCAGTACTCAATGAGCACTGCCTATCTATTGCAGTGCCTCACACACCGTGGAAGTTCAATAACTATTTGAAAAAGAAATTACTGAATGAGCATCTATTCTGTTGGGCACCATGTTTAGACCCAGAATACAAGTTAATAAAATGTAGTTCCCTGGGTACAGAAACTCACCAGGGCAGGAAGCCCAGGATACCTAGCAAGGGGCAAAGCTGGGAAAACAAGGACCTTGTCCCCAGGGTAACCTATGGCTGGACTTGCAGTTTAGACTCCCTGACCTTTTATTCTCTAAAGATAACAACTAGGCCTCAATTGTTTTCCAGTTCCAGGCCCAGAAAAGCAGCAGAACCAGACAAGTGGCACCAGCCAGGATCAGCTACATTGAATAATGACCCCCTGCCCTGGCAGGGCCCTGAAAGAGCACACCTGGAAAGGTGATGAATACTCTATTGAGACCCTCCCCTGAGATTTCCACCTATAAGAAAGAGATAAATATGCTCAGGACAAAGAACCCAGTGAGTGCTCCCCACTAGGGGAGCATGCCAGCACCATCTCCATCCCCCTTCTTCCCTCTGAGGGGAACCCAGGAAATTTGCAACTAGGGGAGCAATGGGCAGTAGCAGCTGGTCCCGGGCTTACCCCAGAACCTGTCTCCAAGGCCCCTCCTCTCCCTGACTCCTCAGTGAGCCAGAGAAGCCCAGCCTGGGCTCTCCTGTTCCCTCTCCTATGCTCCTCCCTGTTTCACGTCCTAAGTATATTTTTGCTGCCATCGTGGACCCAGTACCCTTTGACTCAGTGCTGTGTAGCCCTTCCCTTTGGATATCACACTCCCACCCCCTTTTTCTTAAATAAATTTAATTTTTCTTTATTCACCATCTGAGATGGCTGTTTAGCCTGCCCAAGCACCACCGACCTTAACCTTAACTTTTCAGTTCCTGTTTTATAAGAGCTTATAGTAAAAAAGGGGTGTAGATATTAAACAAATAACTACGGCAGTATGACAAGTTCTGCAAGTATATACAAAGTGTGGCAAAGTAGGTTTACAGTTGTGAGCATGAGAAACACAGAGTTTATTCTTATATTCTTATTTATTAATTATTGTATTATTTTCCATATGAGCAACTGTAAACCTACTTTTGCCCCACCCTGTATTAGGAAGCAATCCTGGAAATAATCACAGAGGAAGGGACTTCTACCCTGTTTATGAATCTTAGTGAGAGTTTGTCAAGTGCACAAAGTGGGGGGGGGGCGTATATTCTAGGTAGAGGGAACATATCATGGGCATGAAATAGCACGATAAGGCTTGTGGGCAGTGGGGAGGCCCAAAGCCATGAGTAAGCTAAAGCATAATTAAATTTCTGTTTTAGAGGGATCTCCTTTGTGTCAGTATGGAAGGTGGATTTAGGACTGGGGGGGCCTGGGTATGAGGTCAAAGGCAGAGATACCAATCAAGAGACTACTGTGATAGCTCAGGAAAGAAATGATGAGGACTCCTCTCATTTTGTATTTTATTCAAAACTCAAAGGCTCCCTAAGCTTTTCCATATAAACTGCAAGTAGCCCAAATCCTGAAATGTGCTTCATGTCTCTGACACTAGCCAGCTTAAAAGGATACACAATGAATAATCTGTTATCAAGTCAAGTTGCAAGAGAAAAACATTAGCACGAAACTGCAGGCTTGGACATTGCTTTGGCTCCCAATCAACTGGCTGAAACCCATCTCTGGTAATGCTTTGATTTCCCTGGCTGGAAAATCCTTACACTGTTATTTAGATGAGTGAGGATTTCTTTCGGATTCGCAATGCATGGAAATAACATAAAAACGGAGGCTTTGCACTTTGAGTTTAATTCTCAGTGTTCTGGCTCTAGTATCATGGCCCAATACCCACCAGTAGGAGGCATTGTCTAAACACGATTGGGAAATTTTCATTCCTCAGGAATGACATTGTTTCCTTCTCTGGCCCAACAGAGTCTGAGAAGGAGGATTGTCGCTTCCAGTGAAGGAAGAGCTCCACCCTCGGCCAGGCCACAGCTGCTCGGCCAACAAATAAGGGCAAAGCATCTCCCCTCTTTACTTGTCTCCAAAATGGATGCTTTCAATGGGATTTTAAAATTCATCCTGCACCAGAAAACTGTTATTGGCTACAGCTTCATGGCCCTGCTGACCCTGGGAAGTGAGCGTCTCTTCTCCCTCGTGGCATTTAAGTGCCCCTGCAGCACCGAGAACGTGGCCTATGGGCTGGTGTTCCTTTTTGCTCCTGCCTGGGTTTTACTGATCCTCGGATTCTTTCTGAACAACAGGTCGTGGAGACTCTTCACAGGCTGCTGCTTGAATCCCAGGAAAATCTTCCGCAGAGGCCACAGATGCCGCTTCTTCTATGTCCTGGGCCAGGTCACTCTGAGTTCATTGGTGGCTCCAATGATGTGGCTCTCTGTGGCTTTGCTCAATGGCACTTTTTATGAATGTGCCATGAGCGGGACAAAAAGTTCAAGACTCCTAGGATTGATTTGCAAGGACAAGCCCAAAGAGTGCTGGGAAGAGCTTTACAAAGTATCATGTGGCAAAACCAGCATGACAGCCATGGACAGTGAAGAGCTGAAGCTGTCCCTGCAAGCCCAGTCTCAGGTAAAAATAATAAAAAAAAAGGGACAAACTTGCTTTTTCCTCCCAGCTTGAAGTTTTCTCACAGTTGTCCTTGAGCCAGGGCCGAGTCTGAATTCTGCTAGGACAGTTTGATGCAAAGTGGAAACTGGAACGTGATGCAGTGTTAAGATAATCTCTGGGAAAGCTTTTTAGAGGTTAGATGGCTCGGTAAAATTGCTGATTGAATTGTCTTTTCCATTTCTGAAAAGAAAATAGCCTCTGGGTTCTGTGTACGTACATACTTAAGTACTTTAAAACTCTCTCTGGGTTGACTTTATAAATAATGCATGATACTAACTCATAATTGAGTGTTAAAGCCAGAGCTGTAATTAGAAATTACTGCCTTCTATCAATTATTTATTTCCTAACTGGTTTCTCAGAAAAAATAAAACACCCCACACATGTAGCATTCATCTGTTAAAATATAGTTGAACCAAATGAGCTAATACTTTGCAAAGTTGCAAGTAATATAATTAATACCAAGATTCCCTTGAGTGATTTCTGGCAACTTCTATCTCTATGTGTAAATATTGTCAGGCTTGAGAAGAGTTTCCCAGCTGATGGAGGAATTGGCAGTCTGTAAGGAGCCTGCAGTGAAAAGGGGTCATATTCTCTAGGGAGGCTATGCCTTCCGTTTTTTGTGCTGTACAGCTGAAGAATAATACATTACTTTAGAAGCTCAAGATTTGGGGCATTGTTTTATTTAGCAGAAGGAAATCATAGCTTTACCTAACTGACGTAGGGAAGTAGCTTGTCATCCTTCCAGGTACATGAGCACAAATCCAGATGTGAAGCCTTGCGCTGGCCTCAGGAAAAGACTGAATGCCTACTTGTGAGTAGAAGGAATTGCATTCCCAAAACCCAAACAAGCAATTAAAGTAGATAAACAGATGCATAATTGCTCAGCAGTGCTACTTGTTTTGGAGTAAATGCACTGAAAAGAGTATAATTTTACTTTTTCAACAAGGACTTACACATCAAGGCAAAGTCTGTTTTTAAAATCCTGCATTCCAAAGCTGGCTGGCAGTATTGCCATACGCTTTTCATAAACCGATAAGCCTGAACACACCCCAAAATCTTTTGTGTAATGCATAAAGTGCATCGGAGATAAAAACAGGCTCCCAGACGCCTTCCTTCTTTTGTTGATTGAAGGTATTAATTCCAAATGTTATGACACAATGAGTGATTTATGATTTATGTCCCCGGGCACCAGGCTCCATTCAGTTAATGCCAGGCCCAAACACTTATCACTGTGTGAGCTCTTCTTCTCTAAACACGAGCACAAAGAAATCATGCACATGCTGCCATAGCTTAACATGGGCACCGACCTGTTGCCCTTTCAGCAGAATGAAAAGAGCCTGGGGCTGATTCCTGAGGGATGCCGCATGAGGCCTGTGGACAAGGCAAGCTGTATCAACAGCAGGTGCTCACAGCCCAGATAAGCAGGAGCAACAAACAGTCCCGACTAATGGCTGGGCACGTGGATGGGGGTGAAAAAGCGTCACATCCGTAGGTGGGGCAGAGAAACAAGAAATCCAGCTGCGCGGTGCTCTTTTCTTCAGGGAGGTAGAGTGTAGTAGTGGCAAGAACTTGGCCTTTGAGTCGGCTGGCCTTGGGTTTGAGTCCTGACTCTACCAGTCACCAGCCACATGACCTAGGGCTAGTGATACGGCCTCTCTCAACCCCAGATTCCTCTAGTTGGGGAGTAACACCTACCCTGGAGGTTGCTGGAGGGTATAGAGATAATGGACCTAAGTGGGCATGAGGCTGCTGGCACACAGTAAGTGCTCTAAATTGATGAGAAAACTGCCAGGGTTTGAGGAGGAGACTCATGCAGAATGGGACACTAATGAAGGCTGGGGTGGGAGCATCCACCATGTCTAGCTAGATTCTGGGTACTGTGAGTTGGGGAAGAACTCAGTGCTCAGTGCTCAGGTGAGAGCAAGGCGATACTAGGCTCATTTCCCGGGGCAGGGGGAAAGGGAAGTCTGAAGCTGACCAAATAGCTTAAAGCTCAAGCAGAACTGGCTCGGATTCTGAGGTGAGATGGCCTCCTGGCCTTCAGGAGGCCTGGCTGTGGGGAAAGAGGAAGGTAGAGGTCAGAGGAAAGAGGGAGTTCTGAGCTGGCCAACCACAGGTCAGGAGAATATGGGGACATTCACGCGGTGGTGGCTGTGTCTCACTCATTAATCATGACAGACAGAGGCCGTGAGTTTAATAATAATGCTTCTACAAACACATATGCATTTGGAAAGCAGCAGCGAGTGGTAACAGCTCACACCTACTGAGTGCACATGCACGGCTACATCAGCTCATTTTAATCCCCAAAGCTACCCTCTGAGGTGGGGAACCTCCGTTTTACAATGGAGGAAACTGAGGCGCAGAGAACAGCCACCGTAAGGGGAAAGTTGAGATTTGAACCCAACTAGTGCCAATCCAGAGCTTGCATTCATGAGGAGTCTGAGACCTTCTCAATGACTCCCTGCTCTGAGCCAGAGTGTGAGAACTACGTGTGTAAAGCATTGGAGCGTATTTGTAGTTCTGTTACGGTCTGAGTGGTTCACTTGCAGAGTTTTGTTTCTATTTTCAAATAGTCCAATCTGCTGAGAAACACCAAGGGTCATTTCACTGACATGTCAAGAGAAAGTCTGAAAGACCTCTTTAGTTTTCCAAATATGAAATTAATTCTAATTATCAAAATATAATTAGAACAACAAAAAAGTTTGAAGACAAGTTGAACTACTTAGACTTCTGTTTTCAATATTCAGGAGGGGAAAAAAACCCAGCTGAACCAGTCGGTACTCAAAGAGGAATTTGTTTTTTCTAATTATCAAAATACAGAGCCAATAGTCCTGAAAGTTTGGAATGACTGTAATTTTTTTCTCAGCAGTCTTTCAATTCTTACAGTTTCAGTTTCCTTATTGTATTATGCCTGATTCTATTAGTCATGGATAATGGGTAATGATATTTCTCTCAGAAAGGGTTGCTGCTCCTTGCAAACAATAGAACTTGGGAAAATTCTATCAGTAGCCACATATGTGCATTTATCAATGCCTGGAAACGCATGGCTAAGGAACTGCCATTTGCTCGAAGGATCACATTTACCCATGCATAGAATTTTTTCTCTGATAGCTAATGCTATTTGAGGGCTTGGTTTACCTGATTCTTGGATAATCTGTATTTTTTGCTTTTTTCCATTTGCCTGCCTTCTGGTTATTTCTTTGCATATCAACAATGATGGGTAGGATGGAGAATAATTAGGTAACTCTAACTTTATTTTGACTGCTAAAAATGTGTTGTTAAAAAATTAAGATGAAGAATTTCAACTGAGATATGGCAATGACTGTGGTTTTAATTTCGCCATACATTTCCCAATAATATCACCCCAGCTCCCTGAGAAGTGGCTTTGTTTTTACATGTCCTCAATACTTCTTTCTTTCTAAGATTCTAGGATGGTGCCTGATTTGTTCAGCATCTTTTTTCTCTCTGGTCACTACTTGTTACGCTCGCTGTCGATCTAAAGTTAGCTACCTTCAGCTGAGTTTTTGGAAGACATATGCGCAAAAGGAGAGGGAGCAGTTGGAAAATGCTTTCCTGGACTATGCCAACAAGCTGAGTGAGAGAAATCTGAAAAGCTTTTTTGAAAACAAGAGGCCGGAGGTCTTCCCCATGCCTACTTTTGCTGCCTGGGAGGCTGCTTCAGAGCTGCATTCTTTCCACCAAAGCCAGCAATACTACAGCACCCTGCACAGGGTAGTGGAGGATGGTTCGGAACTTGGCCCCGAGGAAGATGAGACCACAATGGTCCTGGTGGGTTCGGCCCACACTGTGTAGCTCATCCACCATCCTTGACTCATGGTGTCCAGGAGTTCACTTCTGACAGCTTCTTACCGCATCAACAGCTGCCTGTGAATATATGTGTTTTCTCACATTTTCTGTTTCTTTACAAGACAAAAACACCAGGGGAAGCAGCTTTGCATCTCCCAAGTACAGACCATGTCAGGATGTGCTCAAACGGATGCTGAGTGGACTGGTCAAGGATGGCAACCAAGGTGCTCTTGCTTTGGGGGAGGGTTGGGCTCAGTGTCTTCAAGTGCTAAGATTTTTATGATTTGACAGCAAGACTCATGCAAGAAGGTCGCCACTCTGTAAATATTGGTCATGGCATCTGAGGGCAGAAGTGGTGAGTTGTGAGTGAGCCAGATACTCTCAACGGACTACTGTACACAGTGAGATCTGTAGTATAGTCAACAAAAAACCTTGTCCTATAAATCTACCCTACAGCCCTTTAAAGATGTATGAAATTCTACCATCTGAAATTCACTTCCTCAGAATCTGAAGACATCAGTTCTCAAAAATAATACATTGAAAGGATATAATGCCTAAAATCCCAACCTTCTCACATATTTCCAATGTACAATGAAAGTATGCCCCTGCAAGCAGGGCTGTATTAGGACTATTGTGGGCTCTAGGTGCTTTTGCCTTAATGGACCACTTTCTACATTAAACACACACACACACACACACACACATACATTCATGACTGTATTGATATAAAGAAAAATATATGAATATTATATATTAAAATATTTTTTCAACCCAAAAGTTTATTTATTTTCTTCAGATTTTAAAATAAATTAAAAATACTTTTGGGTCCCTACAGGTATCATGGCCCTAGGCACAGTGCTCACTGGGCTGAATGGTTAGTCAGCCCTGACTGGACGTCTTGGGGAGCTGGCCTAAGCAGTATTGGTGTAAAACTGTGTTGCAGTTTTGTTTATCAGAAATAGTGCAAATTTTGCATTCTACTATGTAATATATCCCAAATCTCTGAATGGGATTGGTGTTTAAGGAAGAGGCACATATTATGCTGTGGCTCACACCTTATATCACTGAGAGTCCTTGTCTCTTAGTTGGAGAATCCTGGGGATGAACCCCTTAGTACCATGGAACATTATCCCAAATTGGGGAAAGCCCCCTACAGGTATAAGACATGGAACATATCCTGGGAACTTGGAGGTGCAGGGTCAAGTAGGGGTGTGTGTGTGTGTGTGTGTGTGTGTCTGTGTGTGTGTCTATGTGTGTGTGTGTAGGTGGGAGAGTGGAAGGTGGGGACTGTGAGGTTGCCACAGTTGAAATATTATTTGAATTTCAAAGAGTGGTGCTATCAATGTTTTGACAACTTGCTCTCAAAAATAAAAAGCCCCTGATTTAAAGTGTTCACCAATTTCTATGGTACAATTTCAAGTTACCAAGATGATGTCACTGAATGCAGAGTTAGGAAGAGATGCTGCCCATGGGCTTTCTTGAGCCAGTATGAATTTTCAAAGAAGGTTTTACAGCAAGCTTTTTTTTCTTCTTCTCACTTATGTTGATTCTAGCCAAACCAACTTTGGCGCATCTTTGGTATACATGGGTTTTACTTTAATAAAACCTAACCATGGTGAATTAAATGAGGCTCAGTGGCTCCAACTGAGAGGCGAAGTCTTATTCGTCTGCTCTTGAATCTGGCCGTCAACAAACCAACAGAATGTAGCAGAAGTGAAGCTGGATTGTAAAAGCTTTACAGTTTACATCTTGGTCTCTCGCAATGCTCAACCTAGTGGGAGCCAGCAACAGTGTAAAAACTCCGATCACCCTGAGAAACCCCTCCCCAAGCTCTGAAGAAGGAAGAGAGAGAGAGAGTTGGTCAGCCCCAACTGTCCCAGTCCCTCTAGCTTAAGTGCCAGGAGTGAGCGAAGAGCCGTTTTGTACATTCCAGCCTCAGTAGACATGACGTGGGGAAGAACCAGGGAGTCCAGCCAACGGCCAGAACAAATAACCCAAAACTATGGCCCTCAAGCAGCCACCCCAGGCATCTAGACTTTTGAGCCACCCCATCCGAGGCTGCAGACATTCTATTATGTCCTGTCTAAATCCCTGGCCCAGGAAACCATGAGCTTTAATAAATACTTGTGGTTTGTTTTTTTTAATAAGTTATTTTAAACTACCAAATTTGGGGGGCACTATAAGCAAAAATAGAGTAAACATTAATATATGAAAATTAGGATTTATTAAAAGAGAAATTCTTTACCATGGAATAGTATCCCAAAATGGAGAAAGCACCCTGCAGGTATAAGACATGGAACATATCCTGGGAACTTGGAGGTGCAGGGTCAAGTAGGTATTAAAATTTTTCTCTTTTAGTGAATTGGATTTATACATAGATTTATATAAAGATTCTCCTTATGCACAGGACTTTTGTTAATATTTTTCCCTCTAGGTTCCAGTTAGCACTATATCCTTTATGGCATGACTTGACTGATGTTTTATAGGAGTCTCTGAATAGCTCCACCAAAGCCTGAGATTCATTTTTAATTATTTCTGGTTAAATTTGGTTTGAAAGGAACACACTGCCGTAGGTTAAATTCTGTTTAAAAGAAACATATTACCAAGAGGAGTGACATAGTTTTAGTCATTAGCACCTAAGACAAAACGGGAGTGGAGGGTGTGGGGTAGGCGGGGCTTGAGTAAGTTAGAAACAGGCTGGTCTCGTGTTCCTCAGAGTGTTGCCTTCAGACAGTCCACGTTAGCGTCACCAGGGAGCCTGTTAGAAATGCAGAGTCAGATCCGATCCCAGACTTTGATTCAAGTCTGCAGTTTAACAAGATGTTGGGTGATTCTATGCAGCTTAAATTTTAGAAGCACAGAGCAGTGGTTCTCAAACTTTAGTACAAGTGAAAACCATCTAAAGGGCTTGTTAACAGAGTGCTGAGCTCCACCCCTCAGTGTCCATTTTGGTAGGTCTGGGTTGAGGCAAGGCAATTTTCATTTCTAACAAGTTCTCAGGTCATGGTGGTACTGTTGGTCCAGGGATCACATCTTGAGAACAACTGCTCTAAAGCATAAAACAGGTCACGCTGGGGAAGACAAGCTAGAGGAAAGTCAGAATATTGGGCTCCATCCTAGATCCACTGAATCAGACATCTTCACTATGAAGTCATCAACCTATCTAAGAACATGGGATGTCTTTCCTTTTTTATTCCCATTTATTCAAGGTTACCTTTTGTCTTTAGGAATATTTTAAAGTTTTCATCACGTAAGTTTTGTAACTTTCATGTATCTGTAGGTATCCTTTGCTGCTATTGTAAATGGTTTCTTTTTTCCATTGTCCTCTAAGTGATGTTATTTGAGTGCTTGAAAATGTTATTGCTTTATGCATATCAATCGTATACCTCTCTACTTTACTGATTCTTACATATTTTTGTAGAGCTTTTCAGAATTAGAAAATAAGCATTTTGCAATCCCTAATGATAAAATGGATCTAGACAATAAACAATGAATTCTAAACTAGTAGGTAAGAGCATGATGGGGTAAGAACCGTGCACCTTGAAACCACTCATCTATCCTGGAATCTCTAAAAACGAGACAACTGGAGGTTATGTGCCTTCCAATATGATGCAATGCAAGAGTAAGTATACATAGTACAACCTGTGCAGTGATTTCCCCCCAAAAGTGAAATAGGAATCTGATCAAGTATTTAGACCTAACTACTAGTTTACAGGAAACATGGGCAAGAGAAAACAAGTTGATTAGCACCATGAGGAAGCAACCAAGTAAATCTAGAATATAGGACATTCAATTTGACATATGACTAATGGCATAAAAAGGGGGAATAAAAGAGACATAGAAGTTATAACAATAGGGAGCAACCTGTGGGTCTAATTTGTATCCTGTTTCAAACAACCAGCTAACAAGATATCTTTGAGATATGTAGGGAAACGGGAATGGGCATGAAACGGGTTTTAGATGATTTTAGAGAATTATTCATTGTGTTATATATGATAATATCATGATGGCTTATGTATTTTTAAAGTCCTAACCAGATAGAGCTGAATATTGAAATATTTATATGTGAGTTGACAGAATGTACAGATTATCTTTAAAATATGTTAGCACACAAAAAAAGGGGTAGGAGCTGAAAGATGAAAAAGACAGGCAAAATATTGATACTTATTGAAACTGAATAGTTGGTACATGGGACTTATTACATATTCTCTTTACACTTGTATATGCTTAAAATTTCTCATATTAGTTATGCAGTAAAATAAATTGTACACTTGCTTCAGTTATTTTGCTAGTTTTGCCAATCAACTCCTGCTTGCCTGGAGATTACCCTCTAGTATCATTCTCAGTAAAGATTCTCAGGAATGCTATTCCCTGGACTCTTACATATTCAAATTATTGGCCTGTTCTATATTTGAAGGGCAGTTTAGCTGTTTCACACTTTATCTTTTTGAGAATATTTTGCATTATTCCGTTGTCTTTTTTCATTAAAGTTGCTAAGGAAAAATTCAATGTCATCTTGATTTATTACTAACATGACGTTTTTGCCTATATTCTCACAGGATTCTTTATCTTTAAATTACAAACATTTTCTTTTGTTTCAAGAGAACAGAGATTGTGAGTCCCCTCCCCCCCCTTTTTGTTGCTCTATATGATTTTCAAGAAACCTTATGGTTTTGGATCCAGAACTAAGCCACTGCTATGTTCCCATTGGAATTTCACTAATTTAATAATAATTCTTTAAGAGTCAGTTAACTTCGTGATAATTCTTGTTTCACCTATCCCGACCCTCTCCTTTCCCTTTACCTTCCCATGCAACCAGAATAGAGTCAATACCTAATTTCTTGACATTTGCAGCCTCTCACCTATGAGGTAAATGGCAAGGAGCAGTGGATCTGTATATGCATCTCTTATATGGAAGCTGCAAGAATAAAGGTTGTTCCCCTTTGTGCGGTTGCTGCCTTGATTGCTATATACTCAACACAATCCCATCATTATCCAACGATCCCACAAGAGCCCAGGCTGCCTTGAGGAGCTGACACAAGAGTCTGGCTACAATTCTAATCCTTTCTAGCAGTGGCTTCTGACTAAGCCTTAATGAAGCCCAAAATGTGTACT